ACGATAAACGCGGACAATTTCCTTATGGGATAATAATCTTATGTACTGTACGCGTGCCGGAATTAATGAAAAGGATACGCACATGTAATATTGTAAAATTCATAATTAATTTAAAGCGCCTTGGCAAGAATGCTAATGAAGACCGCCACAATATCTTTTTTCACGCATCCGAAATTCGTTATTTTTACTAACTAAATATCGAATGAATATTCTATTAAACTAAAATACGCGATGAGTGAAGATTCGCATTAAACGATGAGTAATGAAAAAGATCTTCGCGTTCTCTAAGACGTGGCATCGATAATGGTGAAATGTGGAAGCAACTTATCGGATTCGGGATGTTTTTCACGAATATTTTTAAGCATGTGAGCCCCGCAGCCGCTTTAAGTATATATTACACCCGAATATTACGCCTCCACATTGTGCCGCTTCAGGAAGTTTAACGGCTGTAGCGGAAGTAATTAGAGAACTCTCTTTTTCTCGTGGACCCGAACCCGGACATTTTCTCATGAATTGTAAATGCGGCCAAGTTTTTTAATCTCAGTATCGCATCTGGAAATTCAGATTGTCTATTTACAATTCGCTTTTTGGCATGGACGCGCGACGAACGGAAGGGAATATTTCGATTATCTCGCAAATTAAATATTCAGGAATTTGCGCGAGTTAGCACGGCTCTCTCTTTTCTGTTGCGTGAAATTCAAATCGCGAGTTGCACTATAAATTATTATTTCAGAGAACCAAGCATTATTATATCCTCTTATTGTTCGTACGAATAAAAATGAAAGGCTCGAGATAAGCAATAACGATCAAATCAATGAAAAGGGGAGAAAAGTTGGAAGGTAGTACGAGGTAAGGGGCGAAAAATTTCAGGCTTAAACGCGCGATGCTGAGAGCGGCACGCGTTCAAAAGCTCAACATCAAATGCTCAGCGAATAAAGGACCTTTTTCTTCATTCTCGTTTGAACGGACTGACGCAACGAAATGGTAACGTTTCTTTCAAAACGCATATATATCGTTTTTGGATATGCTTGGAATATGTATTTTCAAAGGGATGTCGCTACCAATCCTTCGGCTGGTCGCTCGGACAGAAGATCGCGCTTTCCTCTAGGTCGGATTCGACTCGTCGAATGCTCTCGGCTTTGTTATACACGCAAATAATTCTTCAGAGTTCCTGAAATGCCGTCACCTCCTTCGAACAAACGAACGAGATTGGAGGGTGTGAAAAGACAATATTAACTGTAAAGGACGGCCGGAGGCAACGCGGACGCTTCCGGAATAATATCGTCTTATTTGAATTATTGGCAGCGATTTCGGAGAGATGCTCTGCCCAAACGTCCTTCGCGTATTGTGAGCGGAAACGTCTCCTTTCACTTATCGTAAATATCGCATATTTTGATTGAAAATCGAGGTGGAATTGTCGTAGATAGAGAGAGAAAAAAAGGGGGGGAGGGGGCAAGAGAGAGAGAGAGAGAGAGAGAGAGAGAGAAAAAGCGAGAGGCGAATACGTTTGGCAGTTCCGCGATGCGAATCGTCTACATGTTTGTGGAAATCCGGCGCGAGATCACGCGTTTGAGGAATCGATTTATTTATTCGGATCTCGCGATGGAGAGCGGGATTATTTGCATTGAACCGACCGCTGAAAAGTACAGACAAAGTAAACACGGAACCCTCGCATAGTATATATTCGTACGATCTGCCTCATATTTTATGAAATTTTATTTGAAGCAAATATATCATTTTGTGGTTCTAACATTTCGGGCATTATACGTATTGGGTGACATTTGGGTGACAAAATGATGATTGCGTTGTGAATTAATAATAGTCGTGAAATATTACGAAAACGTTATATCTGTTTCCACGTGGAACGCTTTAAGCAAAAGGATTCCATAAGTATGAAAAAAAAGATTCAAGAGTTCTTCAGATTTAAGACTTGAAAATTGAAGGAATCGATGACTCGAGGACCTCGATTTGAATGTCCAACAGTCTCGAACCAGCGAGAATAACAACTTAAGAATTTCCGATCACAACCCAAATGGTCCAGAATCATTCGGAGAGCAGAAAGTCTACAACATTGACCTAGGTTACATTCCAAAACGTTCTTTTCCAGGAAAATTTTCTTCTCGGTGGCTGCTTCAAAACTTGAGCGTTTCCGATCGGTCTCTCTTCCTTTATCACTCGGAGGCGATCGAGTAAAGTTTTCCTCGAAAAGAATGTTATTTGCGGTCCCAGTTGATACAAAAGAAGAAAGAATCAATACGTACAAGTAAAAAAAAAATATATATATATAGCAAGCTCGGGAGACAGATGAATCGCGGAAGCTCGATTAAGTACGCGCATGGCGCGATTTTTTTCCCCTGTATGTCGGCACGGTGCTTCGTTGGCACGCCATTCAGCGCATTCACGCCTGCACGCATGTGCGTGATACGAAACGCGATTACGGGACGTCGTCGTCGCGACGACGGCACCGATGGAGTTTCACGGAATTGTCGCGACGGCATTCTGATCTGCATCTAAATTGGAAAAAAGTGTTAAGCTTCACGCGTCGTGAACGCGTTGCGTCCGCCGCGGACGTTGTTCGCGAGCGTTCGCGCATTTTTACATACATAACGGACGTTATGCCAGCATAATAGAGTTAGACGTCATCGAGCGAGAGAAAGCCGCGCCTCTATCATGAGAGCTTCCTTCTCCGCGTGTGAATTTATTTCATTGTCAATTGTTGCGAGATTTCGAGAACACCGACACGATGAATGATAGAAAATAAGGAACTGTCGCTTGTTCAAATAATTAATTACTCACCTTGAAAATAAATACTGAGGCATGAATTTATTTGGAGATTATGCAGATGTCATGAATGTTCATTATGCATATCGTATCCATATTCGCTCTTATATCCAATAACACTTCCCAGATTCTTTGTATTAATGCAACGCGATATGTTTTATAAAATAAAACATTGATGCATTGAACGTTTGTGAAATTAACGAGATTTATAACAATGCGCTTCGCAGATGAAGTGTGATTTAATTTAAATGAAAACCTTCCTTTTCATATTTTTCCCTACGCGAAACATGCGGGGAAATTGCATGTTATAATTTGATATTACCATCGAAATGGCTAAAGAAATGTATATGTACGAAATTTAAACGCGAAGCGTCGAATTTCGATTTCCGATATTGCGACTGTCAAGTATTTTATGCGTACTTTATGTGATTGTATTCGTATTTGATTTTATTTGACTGGACGAACAGAGACGCGCGCTGAGTGCGCGTTATTTATAGTTAATTACTATTATCCGGAAAAAATTTCAGTTCGTGTAACTAAATAAGCACCAGATTGAAATTCATCGGCGAGAAAAAGATGTCTCTGTCATTGTCAAAACATGTAACTTCCACGATGACAGCTGCGAATCAAAGCGAACAACGATTTGTATTAAAGTCGAGATTTCGAGACAGCCAATCAGCATCGCGAGAAAGAGAGTTCAGCATCTCGATATATTTGAGATTTGATAACAAGTTTTTTTTAAAGGTGTATAGAATATTGATAGGATAATAATAAAATCGGAAAATAATCTCGTTGTATCTTTACTTCATTGCCATTTAGCAATGTATTCGGATTGTAAGTCGGAATAAAAATTTTCCATTATCGAACAATTATACGTATCAAAAATATCGTTCGTAATATCTAATGACTGTCGCCAGTTAACGTGTGAATATCAGTTAACGTCGCTTTTACGATCGACTCGTATTTTCGTTTTATTAGATTAGTTAATATTTGCTTATCGCAATATTTTATCTGTTAATTGCACAAATAATATAATAAATATACTGCTTATGAAAATTAAAATTAGAAAAAGTTTAAATAAAATGAGTTAAGAGATAATTAAATATTAAACAATCCTTACATAAGTTCTTCTTTAATTCGTATCAAGTTAATAATTAAGTAGTTAATAATTTGCATAATGGTATATCTTGAGATTATCCATTGGTTTTTCAAGGCGGAATTTGTAGATGTGGAATTAAAATTTTAATTTTTTTCGGCTCGAGTATAGACCATTGTTATTACGCGAACAACGTCTATTTTGACATCTGCTGTTATTACAAGATCAGCTTATCATGAGAGAAAATGGGCTTTCCTTGTTTTCGTCGAGAAACAGATCGTTATTGTTCTGGGCTATTTTCGCGATGCGACTCCCGTTATCCGCGGCATGGAATCGCGTATATTTTTTCGCGCAGGCTTTCATTGATTTTATTGGATTCATAAAATGTTCAACGGTGTGACGATGCATCAGCAGAGATGATGGAACAAATATGCAGCGCAACGATAAATTGTTTACATCCCTCATCGAGATCTCTTACCAATCTTTCAAAAGCGCGTTACCAACGGCCATTCCTTGTCTCGCGAGAAATGATAACCGGTAAAACGTTACTGCGAAATAAAAATGCGTCATCTCGGCGAGCGCATATGCGCTTGTTACATTTTGTGCATACAGCACGGACGAGTAATCGCGAAATGCAATCTTATTGTATTGGAAGAATAACTATCTGCCGTTGAAAGGTTCGAGGAAAAAAACGCAATGTGTGTGTTTTCTGATATAGTCGCGTGATTACACAGGTATCTTTAAATCGCTGATGATGAGAGAATATTGAGATAATCCAACCATTTAAAGCGTGAAGAATGATTATTTCTTTATAAATTTTTCAAGTAGTGCGATTGATAACCTTCTGCTATAGTGTCAAAGTTGTACATAAATTATGTTTATAAACAGATACATAATTACGTTTAACACATATTTATCGAGCTTCTTCGTATTGTATTACCTTTCTAAATATCGTCACAGACCAACTACCTTAAGGAAACGTCGAACGAAATAAGCATGTTTCACACGACGATTCACGAAACTTAGCAATTACGAAAGCACGACTACGAGATCGGGAGTATATTTTTGAATGTGCTTCATAACGCGACATATTTCCATAAACAGAGATCTTATGTGTGCTTACCTGGATGATTCTCGATTTATTGAGTATCGTATTCCCCGCGGGCTGATAGCGTTCCATGTCCCTCAGGATACTGCGTACGCTGAGGTCGTCCGCATCGACCAAACGAAAGGCAGTGATATTGACAAAATTGTACTTGAAATCCTCGAGGTCGAAGGTTTCGATATCCTGTGGAAGAGCGAGCGAACGAATCGAGTCGCGGACTAAGTGGATCTTCACATGCGTTTCAATATCCCTAGGGTACTTACGAATGTCGTGAAGAGGTAGTGGTACTTGTAATCATTCATCTGCAGCTGCAGGATCTGCAATGTATGCAAAGCGATATGGTCAGTCGAGGCCGCTTTCGCAAAATGGAATATTACTGCTAGGCGGTAACTTTGGATCTTTTGAACTCTCGAGGTATATTCTCGGTCATATACGTCAGAGAGAAACGCGACACATAATTCATTTATCTCTCGAATACACAACCACAATTGTTCCTCGATGGAAATTTGCCCGACGGTGTTTTTTCATAATATTTCATGCGATAACCAGTCAATATAATAATATAGCTGATAACATAGCATGTATAAATTGTTACAATATTTATGTATAATTGTTACAATATTTTCGCTATATAACTTTTTATTTTCAAGTTATACAGCGGCAACTAAATGTTTTCACTCGGCATGATACTAAAATATATTAAATTTTTTAATATTTTTATAATTAGTCCATGTTATGTATAATTTTGTTCAATCTGTAAAATTATATGAATTCTATCGAATTAAAATTCTATTACGTCTAATCGTGGGGATAACTGAGAAACGACTTATGAACAGCATGGAACGTAATATAAGTGTGTTTTAGAGGGACTCACCATTCGTAGAAAATGATGCATGTGCTCCGGTCTGGTGTCCACGATTAGATTTCGAATTTCCTTGCTTTTCATTTCCGAGAGGACCTGTCTGTACGAGTCGGGATCCGCCTGCCTGAGATTGACTTCGATGTCACGGATTTTAGGTGATCTCACGAGCTCCCGTAACTTCACCAACCCTGAAAACCGAGATGTGTCGTTTATTACCCCAAGAATATATCAATAATAGAAAGTGTAATACTGCAGTTGAAAAAAGCGAATAAACTTCCGTATAATCGACGATTAGTAGCTATTTACTCGACTGAAACAGACGAATATTTTATTCCTACCGCAGCATTCAATTAATTTTCTAAAGGCGATCGCGCGGAAATACAAAGGCTCACGGGGTTGCATCTCGCTGGGAAACGAAGTATTAGCATCTAAAGTAGTCGAGACTACAGTTGTCGACGGCGGTGTTGTCGCGATCGCAAATCGTTTGTCCCGAGATCTCGGCAGGAATTATTAGGTCGGTCGCTTAATGGCACGGAAACCCGTGAATCGCGCCATCCGATGAAATCAATACTCCCCAGCGCCTAAGTAATCAAGGTATCCGACTTGCGGGTCTTCCGCGGTGGCGGAGAGGGTCCCGTTCCCTTATAAGTTACCGGAGGGAGCTTTGGCTCTTGAGATTTCGGCGCGTGCCGAGAACGACGACGCTTCGGTCTGTCGATTCCCTTTGGACAAGAAGTGCCGAAGTCTCGGGATAGTCTTTCAAGATAAACTCCGCCAGAGAACGCAAACGATCCGCTGATTGATGCGCTCGAGTCTGTACGAGAGCTTTGAGATCTATGCATATATTCGTATCCGGCTCGTTTTTGGGCGAAACGACCGCACGTTCTATTGATGCCGAATCACACCAGAAACGTGATCTGGAAACATGGCTTTACACATCCTTCATGCATGGAGGAATAAAAATTGTCCACGCGTAAAGATGAAAGTGACCCAATCTGACGATAGATTACGCTAAATTATCTGGTAATTTTGGAAAGTTGGAAAAATGGTAATTTAGAAGAAAAAAATATAGAAATAAACAAAGAATAATGTTAAGAAAAGGTCGTATTTTATCCATTGATGGAAACGTAAGAAACATAGTGAATCTTCTAGATTTCGGCCTGCTGAACGCGATGGTGTTATTAGTTTCCATCGTTTTTCAGCAAAAGGATTTTCAGCGAATGGAATAATGCTCCGTCACGATATGGAGGGTTACATTATCGCTCGTCCGAATGTTAGTGGTAATTAATCCAGGGCCGAGTGAGAAACCGAGTTTAATTGAAGCCATGTCGGCGGTAACCCGAGTGAGACCAATGTTCTCATGTAAGCAGATTTTGCATCCTTGGAGACAGCAACGAGCGACTATCCCGGAGAACACACTGTGAATATACTGCCGCAATAGCTTAAAGTTAAGCGCGTATGTCCCGCTAGTGTGCCGCTGCTCTGACAGGTGAACATAGTATCACCCTTGTCGTACAGTATCGCATCCTGCATGAAGAAAACAATACTACGATAACAGGATTATTTGCACGATAGTGCGCGTATATACGTGACAAAAAATTCGTTATGGAATATTTATAACGCAGCTCTTCCGGAGTGCAGCGTATGTGACGGCTCGCTTGGTACGACACACCGGGAGGTTAAGCATTATAAATCTCTGTTAGAGAAAGAACGAGGTCCATTTAAAATTAACTGGAAAAAGTTCCGTCACCATATATGAATTGGAAAACTACGAGTTTTGTTGCACGTTTCTGCTCTTATTCGTTAAAGTTTTATGGCATTTAATGCAGAGTTATGGTGCGTATCGACGCCTCGACGGCGAAACGATAAATTGTCTATCTTCAATTCAGTAACAAGAGTATCTATGCGTAGACAGATGCTGTGATACTAAGTAAGAAAGTATCAATATTAATATTGAAAAGAGTATCTGACGTATCAAAAGTATCGATATCATCAATGGTAACCAATATCAGAATAAAAATATCGATATTTAAAAAAAGCCTAAAATTAAAGGAAATATAAAAGTCAGGAAGTTGCCTGATTTTTTATCGAGAAATCGCATGCCAAAAATTATTGCGATATACGTGAAAATAAAATAATATACGCATAAAGTAACATTCGTGATCGATTCGGCATATTTGTAAAAAATATCCGAACGCTTTCTTTTTATTTCAGTAAACAACAAATAACCGTAAAATTAGTATAACAGAAATCATAAGAAAAGATACGTTTGAAAGTAAGTAAGTTGCATGTCACATTAACTTTTATGAAGCAAAGACATGATATTTTGAAGATAGACTGAGTAAAAAATTAAAAAAAGAAAATATCGTAACAATGTAGTATTGATACGGGTACGAAAAATGGAAAGAAAATATATTTCGAAATATTCGTAAAAAATATCTGGTATTGAGAGAAAAACATCGCTACGAGTATTATATCAGTCGTGTCACAACATCCCTATTGGTGCGTGCAACTTAGAAAAACTGGCGAATGCGCGATTATCCTGGGATACCGGTAATAATTGCCGGAAAGCACTTCGCACATGACGAGCGACAATATGTTCAGCGCCACTGCTTGAGTCGAGAATAATAAGTAGAACATTTGCCGCGGTTTATAGCGTGACTCGTTGCAGCTCAAATTATTAACACTCCGTGTACGGACCGCGGTCGGACTTCCCCGGGAGTCATTTGAAACGGTGGTTTTAATTAAAATAGCATTTCGTGCGTTTCACCGGTCCCGGTAATTAATTAACACGGGTGACACGCGAGAGAGTGGCACCTTTTATGAAAATTGACATCGAGCGAAAAGCCATCGAGCGCACGCTGCATTATCACGTATTGTATTTCAAGGCATTACAAGGGCGGCAGAGAAAGTGGGAAGGGGAGAGGGGATAGTCAGTGAGGTATCTGTCAAAGTGGGAGAGCGAGACGTCGTTTACGACCCAACCGCGGAAACTGTACGCCATTTACAGATTGCTAACTAGGGAATTGGCGTTTCTCGACTTAAGCTACGTTATTTAGGGAGTACCGTGCGGGAAGATTGCGTTTCTGGAGACCGAAGCGTCGCATGCGAAAGTGCACGCGATACGACGCAATTTCTCATTGCGACCCGCGTCGCGGTTTAGGACGTGAGGGCGCAATATTATCCTGGCTCCCGACGGCGAGCATCGAGAAATGCGTTTTTGTCGGCGCGTCGCAGTTAATGAAACCTATTCAACCGTAGAGCATCCCGTGATATAGAACAGTATTGTCACGATGAATCGCCTTTTCCCTTCTCGGAGATTCCCGACCGGAGGCATGCAGTCTTCATCGTTTCAAATATGCAAATTGCGTAGTTTTGCATTCGCTTGGAAGTCAAACTTTCTTGTGCAAGTAAAAGCGGAACAAAGTACCATTTGGAAAATCTATTCGTGAGAAAAACGTGCGCAAAAAATCATAATTTATTTAAACTCGATTCGTTGCTATATATCTTACAAATACACCAATTTCCCCATCATTTTCTTCTGCTTCTTGAAATAATTTTTCTTAGTATCTCTTAATATTTTTATACGCAAAATGAACCACAGGAGTCGATTTATATTTTGAAAACTATATGATTTCATTAAATAAAACAAAGGTGACCTTCAGATCTTTGAAGCTACTCCACCTGGAAGAAATTATTACTACCATAAGACGACCGCTTCTGTACTATATAATTTATATCAGACAAATATTACTCTTACTCTCATAGTTTTCAAGATATTCAAACTGGTAATAATTATTGCCTCGTCTTGTATACTTAGTGAACTTTTACTTTTCCGTCGATCCACGATATTTCTGGTTTCATTGCGTATACCAAAAAATGCGTCCCGTTAATGAAAATTATTATTATAATAAGCACAAACAGAAATGTTCCGCAATGCTCACAAAGTTCCGTTATACCCGCGACACAACATCGGCGATAACGATTGTACGATAAGAGTTATTACCAACAAGAGGACGAGATTGAAGATGACACAATTGCCGCAAGAAGAAACAAGGGATCAAGTATCGTCGTTGTCACGATTCTTGGAAGGAGACCTGCCGGGATAATTGGTTGTATCGCCGCCGATGGGGTTCTACGAGGCGAGCGATAAAAAATAGCGAACTGAAACGAATGTGCGCGGCGGTTACTCGACAGTAAGGATAATTTCTCCCGGGAGCTTGAGGACCCGGGGGGAGGGGGGGCATCCGCATCTGTTCCCAGTAGCGCGGAACGGGTTATTATATATATATCGGCTTTTATACACTCTAATGGCAGCCACTTACGAGCGTGCTAGAAATGTCGATATGCCGTGGCGATGCGAAATATTGCGCTGAGTCGGCGGAAGGATGCTGTCAACGACTCGCTTTCTCCTCTCTCTCCCCGTTCGCCGAGTGGATCTCGGTGACAGACGATCGAAATAATTGGATCGCCGGCTGTCTTAAACATGCGCATTTCAAAAACGACTACCGAATGAATATTGGAACGATGGCGGCTGAGGGATTCAACTTAGAGTATAGAAGCAATTTGTGACGGCGCTTCCGGGATATTCGGGACGCGTTTTTGACTATGTAAGAGATACTCGCTGACGCTTCCAATAATATTCCCAGGCAGCGAGGGACAATTCCTTCTCTTACCAACTCGCAATAATATTTCCAGAGAGAGAGAGAGAGAGAGTGAAGAAAGTGTAAAGCAATTGCTTCGCTGAAGTTTCTCGTCAAAAGTTGCATAGTTAATTCCGTGAAACTCTCCCTGCGATAATGCAATCTTACGCATCGCATTTCAACCAGGAGGGAAAGACTTCTGAAGATCTCTCGAAGAATTCCACAATGAAATTCATACGCAGTAACATCCGGCTGAATGTTCATCAATGTAGCAAGTAAACGTGAAAATGTTCCTACCCTATCGACTTGCTATCGTATACTTTGATTTCCTCGAATATTGCAACGCGTCTAGACGGGCCAGGATTTCCAGTGTCTGTCGAGGAATTTTTCACTCCTTCATTGAGAAGTAAATAAGAGAAGGAGCGAGAATAAAAAGATTCAGAGAAAAGAGAGGGAAGTTCGCGTTTGTCGCCCCTCGGGGATACAAGCGCGCTAAACGGACTTTAAAACGCTCTTTTAAACGCTTGTTAAAACATGATCGTGCT